ACAAAAAAAAAAAAACATGCGATGGCTTGATCCGTTGACATTGTCAAATCAATTCCCGAGTCCAAAAAACAATGGTTTATCGTTTATTTTTAACTTTATATATTTTTAAAAAATTTAACTTAATTTTAGTCTAGCAAAGATTTGAAATGAGAATCTTTGAAACTATGAAAAATAGCTAAAATGATTTTTTTTTTCCTTTTTTCTTTTTTGCCCTGAACATTATCCATGTGGCAGTTTGACGTAAATATATGCCAAAACGAAACCTGCATTTGCTATGTAAAAATAGTAAAAAAATGGTGGAAAAATAATAGAATAATAAAAGTCAAAAGGTGGTTGTGTGACAAGTGAAGACAATTGAAGGAGGTAATCGTACCAACATGGATTGACTCAAATGGTAAGTAGTTTGATGTCACTTAAATAAAGTCTCGAATTCGAGTTTTTGTGGATGCAAAAAATTTTTGTTGAGAGACTCATCCACCATTACCAAGTGTGTAATTCAAGTCGACCAATGAATTAGTCGGAACATAGCTCCAGAACTGTGGGTAGCTAAAAAAAAAAGAGGTAACCGCGGCGTGGAATATTTATTATAAGCAAAAAATGAAGGAGTGCCTGCGGTCAAGATTTGGAAGGCGTCAATTATGGGGTTCTAAATTTTATTTAATACAATACGTAGTAGTCAATGTCAAAAGGTACGTTTCATTATTCCCAACTTGTCCACTTGTTGTTGTGGGCTACTCTAGTTAATTCGCCCTACGTAGATATTTTTTGGCATAACAAACATAATACAATTCTCATACAGTACAAGAGAGTGTTGAGTTACGAAATATAAGATAAAAATTATTGTTCAAATAAAAATGATATTTACAAACTTTTATGGACAAATTGATGAAAAAAAAATTAGATAGTGAGAAAGTGATTTGTAATTTGTAATGTATCTATATCTATATAATGAGTCAATCCTTATTGTCATAATTAATATGATTTTGTTCGGCAAAATTTATTCGTCTATAAATAGCATTTAATTAATATTTATTTATTAACAAATCTTATGCATGAAAAACATAATTAATTTCTATACACTAAATGAATACTCATTAACTACAAATCGGCTTAACCGTAGATTTATTAGATATATTTTCAATAAGATCTATATTAATTTAATAGTAATTTATTGACACAATTCATGAATTTAATATGGAAATCGATTTGATTGAATATATTATCGTGTATGGTTGTAGTTATTAATTTAATTAATTATATTCACTATTCAAAAGTGCTTAAAATATAATCAATTTAACTATGTTTAAATCATAATAACTTAATAAATAATTTAAAATATTAATAAAATTTTCTAAAATATAGTCAATTTTAACTATAAAAAAGTACATCCCCATTGAATATATCATATGCAGTGATAATATTATTGAAATTTAAATAATATACTAACAAAAATAAAATTTGATGGTCAGGTACAATTCAGAACTATAAATTTCACTTAAAGTATCTATGTACAATAAAAGCTATTCAATTTCAAAAATATATATTTTTCTTATACACTATTTTATTAATGAAAAATAAGTTAATAAAAAAACATGTATATAATTATAAAATTATAACACATGATAATTATGGAAATATGTAATATATCTATATATTCGTATAGATACTATGTAACTCATTATATAGGTTGAAAAAATGAATTAAATAAATAAAAATATAAAAACATAAAAATAAAATATTTAACCATAAAAAAATTTGTGTTGCATAAGGATTAAAGTTACTAAAAATATCAAAGTTTTTAACATTTAATGCACTTAATAATTATAGTGAAAGATAAATATCATGAGTTAAATGTAGGTCAATTATCAATCAATGTGCAAATCTTGAATTGTTAAAAAAATATACGACTATGATAAACGATAATTTTATAATTACATACAAGTAATATTGTGGAGAATATAAAATGTCATATTATTACTAAATAGAATATTGTGGAGAATATAATTTCATGTTGTCTTAAATAATTTTATAATATTTAAATAAAAATATTTCTTGCCTTGCACCCCGTGCATCGCACGGGTATCAACACTAGTGAGAGAAATATGAAAGAAAAATATAAGTTGATAAGATTACTACTTGTCTGAAATATGTACTAAGAGAAAAATAAAACAAAACTAAATGTACGTTTACCTAGTTTGAAAAATTATTTATGCCTAATATCACAAACAACATTACGAAACATAGAAGTGATTTTCGTCATGTCAGCATCCGAAGCGTGCGAGTCTGCCACAAACAACATTAACACATGCCGAAACGTTAGGGGGAATGAGATAATAGATTTTATTTTTGGAACTGATAAGGTTTCCATTCATTTAGCTATATCGATTATTTAAGTCAAATATTGATAGCAACCGTATTCTGGTAAAATTGCAAATATAAACTTGATCTTTTGCTATAATGTTAACTTTCTTACACGGGTATTATTTATGTAATTAAAATTAAACTTTCTAGTGTAGGAGCTAATTTTCTCTACATTTTATTCGCAAAAATTTATCTAGCCCAAAAGCGATCGATGAGAAGCTTGAAAAGGAAAAAACAAAAAAGTAAAATTAGATATGAAATAATTTTGGATAATGAATTGATATAAAGTAAAACTGTCACTACAAGAAAACACTTCAATTCCAACGACAAAAATTTTCATTGGAAATTCCAATGAATATTCCAACAAACTTAATTTTATGTTGGAAAAAGTGTTGGATGGTTGAGGAATTCCAACGGATTTTTTCTGTTGGAATAGCTGTAGGAATTTATTTACATAGGATTTTCCGTTGGATTTAGCTATTCCAACAGCCGTTTTTCCTACAAATTTTTATATGTAGAAATATCCGTTGGAATACCTATTCAAACGAATATATAAAGAATTCCAACGAAAAATTTTCGTTGGAATTGTTGGGAAAAATACGCTGAAATTTCCATGAAGTCGGATCTATAAAAGTGAAATAAAAAAGAAAAAAATTGGACACACCAAATTGATAACGGAGTTCGGCCAATAATGCCTACGTCTCTGGACTACTGCAGATATTTTATTAGGGAAAAGAAATACACTCGTGTTTTACAAAACACTCTCAAACTCACTCACAACCGACAACACAAATACACACAGAAGCTAAAGTTTTTGCTTCTCGCTCACACCCTTTTTATCTCTCTTTTCTCTCTTCAGGATATTTGTATTTGTTGTTGTGATTTCCTCTGAAGTTTGCTCCTCTATTTATACTGATGAATACACCAAGTTGTCCAATATGGTGTACTGAGTTTTCAATCTTTGCGTACTGATTTTTCAACAAAAACAGCACCTTCTCCGACGGCTGCAATTTGTCAAACAAATTGAGCTTCAAAATTGGTGGGCTACTTTTCAACAATCTCCCACTTGAGGACTGATTTCAATCTGTCCTCACACCTCAATTACTGCAGTAGTCTTCTCTGATCTGTTATTCTAGCAAGCCAACTGAAGTTGAGCACAACTTCAGTTTCTCAATAGTCACCACCTTCGTTAGCATATCTGTTGGGTTTTTGCTTCCTACAATCTTCTTCAAAGTCAACACTTCATCCTCAAGCAGAGATCTGATGAAATGATACCATATGTCAATGTGCTTAGTTCTGGAGTGAAACACTGAGTTCTTTGCCAGATGTATTGCACTCTGACTGTCACTGTGCAAGACACTCTCCTTCTGAGTGAAACCC